GCTATTAGGGGCTCCTGGCCTTACTACTAGGAGCAAGGACACTACTATGGTCTTTTGAGCACTGTTCCTTTCCGTCACTTTGGACCACTCGCTGAGGGAATTGCAGGACACGATACGTTTTCCAAAAACAAAACGACACAGCTCTCCCGATTCAGCTGAACATTCACTCTGACAAACAGCGGAACGCGCAGCGCCGATGGCACGCAACGAAGAATCACCTTTTCAGGTGAACGCTCAAGGGGCCCCTAGTTCGGGCCAGTTAGGTAGCGGCAGGCCGACGTCCAAGGTTTACCCGGGCAAAGTCTGTTTCGTTTCTCATCCTTCAGGGGGAGCTTCTGGGTCAACCTTGGTCGTCCGCGGCCGTCGTTTCACGGCACAAGGCAAACTTCGCGTCTCTCATGACGCGGTGAAGGAGTGCGCTGTTGCCCAAGCGTTTGGTCAAGGGATCAGCGATCATCAAGCTACCGGGCACCCAGAACGTCACGATGCCCATGGCCTTGGCGCTCACGTGGATCACTGCCACATCTATTTGAGCTCGACGGTCGTGTCCAGCATTTCCTGACCGCCGGTGCAACAGGTCGTAGAGTGCCTTGGCATCTGTCACATGGACGCCGGTGTGGTCATCCTTCACTCGGATGCTTCTCACATCCTCTGGCTCCTCATCAGGGAGCTTCACCACCATGGCCGCAGGTTCCGGCCCCAAGCGACTGCCGTCCATCACGGACGAGGAAGGGTTCATCACTTCATGCCACAATGCCCTGATCCACTCAACTTCTCCAAGGGCATCATCCATGGCCAGGGCTTCACTTCCAAGCGTCGCCTTGATCACCCTCTTGAGGCGATGCGACTTCGATGCTGAAGTCTGCTCGCTCGCCATGCATGATCTTGCCGTTGGCATAGGCGACGATGAAGCCACCCTGAGACTTGTTCTCGACGTCGGCCATCGAGGCATCAGCGATGGTGACCCAGATTCCATCCAAGGTGCCGATGGGGAGGATGCGCAACACCTCATTTGGCGTGGCCTTGAGCTCATTGACAGATATGGTCGATGGTGGGTCCATCTGAGCTCCATGACATGGCCATTGCATCTGGACGGGCTTCTTTTCCAATCCACAGCACCTCCTGGTCGCTCAGCTTGGCGCCTTGTCGCGAAGTCGCTCGCGAGGCAAGGTGACAGGCTTCAGCTTCTCCTCAACGTACCTTTTCATGCTGACTTGGATCTCATAGGTGGGAAGCTGTCGCAAGGTGCGGCCAATGTACTCGGCGGTGTCGTTGTAGACATTGCGCCATTTGCAAAACTTCAACTTGCCACGCAGGTCGGTCATCAACTTCTGGTGACGTTCATTGCCACCTTGGCAAAAAGCATCAACATCCAAAAGAACCACTCCTGCCACCTGCAGCTTCGGACCATTGTTGATCTCCTGGTCATTCGGTGGCAGGTAATACAAGCAAGGATCAAAGACGCTCTCCTGGTACCCGAGCTCTGTGAGGTGTCGGCGAACTGTCTTCCGCCAGACTGCAGGTGCGTTGACCAGGCCGTATACGGCAGTGAGGACTCGAATGAGCGCAGTCTTCTCATAGCCAAGGATGCCTGTTGGTGGCATGGAGGCATACAGTGGTCCCTCAGCACGCTCATGTGGGTCGCTCTGGCCGAAGGCACTGGAGACATCCATGATGTAGAGCTCAAACTGCATCGAGCTGATGATTTGCAAGCAGAGCATGACCATGGTAGAGGATGGAGTAGGTGCAAAGCGCTCCTGGGTCATGGCATCAGGATCTTTATGTCCGAGCAAGATCCATCGCGCTTTCGCCTTCCAGTCTTCGCCCACTTCGCCGGCCTTCTTGGTGATGATAAAGAGACTCGGCATGATCCGGTGAGGAAGATCCTTCCAGATTCTGGCCAGCTCCTGCTCATCGATGATGATCTGGATGGCATTCGAGTTCACCAGGTTGGTGATTTCCAGAGTCTTGGCCTTGCTGAACATCTCCTTCTCAACGTTGTTCAGCTTTCGTTCATCGAGCTCTTTGCCGCTCTGCTTGGTGAGGTAGGCCAAGGAGAACTCTGGCTCTCTGAGGGCATACATCATGTCCTTGTGCTCCAGCTTGTGGAAGACTCGAAGATCACGGCTTGAGGCCACCACAGGAAACTTCCGCTTGTCGCCCCACTCTGTGACATCGTCAGCGCGCCACATGCCAAAGATTCGGCTGCGGTTGGCAACACGTCCATCTGCAGAAGGTGCTTGAAAGCTCTTGGTCATCTTGACATCAGTGAGCCTTGCATCTTCTTCTGGAAAGTGTGGCTCACTCAGTCGGGCTTTCTTGACTGGCTGGCTCTCTGGCTGAGGAAGTAGTGCTTCATATGGTTTGCCAGGATCAGGATTGCCAGGCTTGGGCCGGTAGATCAAGGTCGTCTCGATGTTCTTGACACCTTCTGGAAGCTTTTCATGAAGCTTGTGCACTGAGAGCTCATCAGTGATGGTGAGGTCTTGAATGACCTTGTTCTTGTCGATGTCGAGGGTCAGGCGCCGCAGAACATCACTCCAGATTGGTCCTTTGCTATTGGAGCCACGGTAGCGCTTAGCTTCAAGGTCATAGCGCGTCCAGCTTCGAAGGCTTTCATGTGTCGGGTGAGTTGAAGGCCCAGTGGAAGCTGATGATCTTGATCTCTGATTCTCAACGGTGGCCTTCCATAACTCATCCGCTTCTCGCATGCCTTGAGGCATTGACACTGCTGGCGCTTCTGCAGCTGCCGGTGAGTTTGCTGCTTGTTCTGCCGCGCTTGATGTTTGATGCTTTGGTGAAGCTCTTGGTGCTGGTGATCGTGATCGATCTGCTGTGTCTCCTGCTTGTTCTGTCGTTGGTGGTTCTGGTGTAGATGCTCGTACTGGAACAGGTGTCATTGGTATCTCTCGGACAATGGCCGGTGTGGCCGGTGCTGGAATGGATTGAGATGCTTTCAATCCTTCAGGGGGTCCTTGAAAGACCGGTGTCCGTGGTGCTGGTCTGGGTGTCCGGGGTGCTCTGGGTGTTCCTGGTGCCCTCCGTTGGGTGTTTCCAACGGTTGGTGCCGGTGTCGTGTCACGGTAGGCTGCTTCTGGTGGGTCACCCTCCTTCTCCACGTCAACATAGCCTTGCTTTTCTGGATGGAACCTCAGTCGTTCCTTGACACGAAGGAGTTCAGCCGGGATGGATTCAAGTCCTTGGGCTGCCTGGTTTTCCATGGGGAAAACTTGTGTCTTGTTGCAGCGCCATAGTTCTCCACGACGTGTCACCCAGATTGTGCTGCCTTTCTGGAGGACCACAAAGCAAGGTCCAACTTTCGCCTGAGTGCCACGCTTGCCCTGACGCCAGACATAGACTGGGTCTCCTTCTTGGAATTCATGTTCTTCTCTTTGGCGTCTTGGTCGTGCACGTACGGCTCGGTTGAGTCGTTCTCGGCCGTCAACTTCAACCAGGGCTTTGCGCGCAGCATTCCTGATCTCCTGTGCACGTTGCCAGGCAGCATCACCCGTGGAGGACTGTGTCTGTTCAAAGGCGCCAGCATCATTGAGCAACTCCATGGCAATGCTGGGCTGCTTGCCAAAGACTCGCTGAGCCGGTGACTAGCCGCTTCGGTTGGTCATCGTCTGCAATGCCCATGAGACCTCATGGACCATATCTTGTACTTCTCGAAGGTCGGCTGGTTGTCGAAGCTCTCGAGTCTTGTAGTAGACATCTTTGAACAGGCCGCCTCTTCGTTCAACCGTGCCATTCTGGTGAGGTGAGTCACGGTCGATGACGATCGGCTGAATGCCAAGTTCCTCAAGTCCCTCAACAAAAGCTCCTTGGAACTCCAGGCCTTGGTCATAGAGCAGGAAGCTGGGCGTACCAAAGGTTCTTACCCAGATGCTGAGGAAGGTTGACCAGACCAGTTCTTCGGTTGGGATCCACCATGGAGAGGGTGGAGTAGAGCGTTCCAAGGCAGGTGACATTGAGGATCGGATGCTCATCCTTTGGCTGACAGCCCATGACGTACAGGATGTCAACTCCAATCACGACGTTGAAGTCATAGGTCCTCGGCGTTGCAGCAGGGAGTCGTGATGCCTGTCGTCGTTCTTTGAGACATCCTTCGCAGGAAAACTCCTTGAGCGCATACTCAATGATGTCTGGTCGTGTGCCTGCAGCTCGAAGAAGTCTGACAAACTCCTTCATGTGTGGATGTCCCAGGTTGACGTGAGCCCTGAGGATCATCGATTTCTCCTGAGTGGAGATTGTGCTCTTGGTGGTGGTTTCGGTGCCAAAGACTTGCTGGATGGCAGGGAAGTAGTGCAGGACAATGTAGTCATACTGGATCTCGAAGTGTGGT